CACCTCTAGCAAGATTCTCCCCAGCCGAAAACCCCAGGCCCCAAGTCAGCCAGCCACAACAGTGTGAATTCCTCAGGGAGGTGCCAGTCTCATCCTCTTGTAGTTCCCATGCTCCTGCGGCGAGCTAAGAAAATGCTTATCTCCCTGAGCCTGGCCTTCATAATTCCACTCCATCACATCTCAGATGGGACTCCCATAGTTGAATGTGCCCTCCATGCCAAAATCAAGCTATCCTCTACACATAGCAAACTAATATGTCAGGAAGAAAACAGTTAACCTAAACATCTTTTCTTTGACATCTACTTTTCTGTTTATTGTAGACATTGTAGGAGGAGTGCTGTTTTAGTCTATGGTAGACAAAAATCAGAAGAGATCTGGTAGCATCATTTCCGACTAACAAGTTTTATTAAAAGGCACAAACCTTTGTAAGCTACAGCTCACTTCATCAGAGTATCATGAATTACATGAACGTTGCATGAACATTAACAGTAGTGTGAAGTACAAGAATAATAAGAAGTCTGGTGGCACCTTTTCCAGCTAACAAATTTTATTAAAAGGCATCCAGGGGTTGGGATAGCCAAGTGAGAAGGACCAGTGCATCACATTGTGGATTTCAGTGCATTATCTAATTCAATGTTAGACTTGCATCTGTAGGCAGTGCTACATATTATGGTCCACCACACATTATTTGGTTGCAAGCAGATCATAAATCAGCTATGTCCAATAGAGGTTGCTGAGTTTTAGCAGACAGTCAATCTTCCCCTGTGCAGCCATTTTCTTCCTTCCTGTTTTAGGGGCAGAGAGGTGGCCAAATGTAATTTTGGGACCCCCCTGGATATCTGAAGAACTCCAGTTTCCATGAACCTGTTGTGTGTGTGCTTGTGGTAGTTTCAATAAGCACCTCTCTTTCCCCACAGCTCCAGCAGCTTTGCGATCTCCTTCCCCTCATGAAGCCTGCCTGCTTAAAGCAGGCCCTACAGAAGGCCCAGAAGCTTCAGGAGGAGCCAGCAAAAGACCAGCAGGAGACACCAACTGATCTTGACCATGAGGTAAGAACAGTGGAGGGGTGTGTGTGTTATGGAGGATTTTGTTGGAATGGGAAGAGGATTCAGAGGATCCACAGTTGAGAAGAGCTCTGGGACTCTCCATACTATCAAATCAGGAAGTTGAACTTTTGCAGCTAGGCCTCCCATTGCCCTTGGTTTTATAAGATTACGGAGACAGGATCCAACAGTCCATCATTTGGTGGAGGAAAGAATTGGCAAGATGCCCTGCGGTAGAGATGAAGGAATGAATTGCTGTAGGCAAACAGCAGAAACTGGGAAAGTAAGCAGAGACTCATGGCCCTTGGAGTATGTTGGTGGTGAATGACTCCAAGAGTGCTGTATATCCAGCTCCCCCTTCTGAAGAATTGTTTGCTTGAAAACCTCTAAGAACAGACCTCATTATTTCCTGGTTGGATAATTCCATTGTTGCCTATCAGCTAGGCATTTTGATCTCGTGGGTTTGGTCTTCTGGCCTCCTCCCTTCCTCCTGGCAATTTAGAACTGCTAAATTCATGGAGAAGGTTGTTTTGGTTATTAGATTTAAAAAAAAATGTTCTAAACCTTTTAAAACACCCACTCACCCCTGTATACTAAGCATCCGGTTGTTTTGCCTAACGCCATCAGTTGGTGATTTATCTTTCCCCCGTCCCATATTTTGTCAAGTTTGGAAAGAAAGGCTGGGGCACCCTTCCATTTGGCTTGAAGACCATTTGGTCTGGGAAGGAGAGCTGGGAAGCGGGACACAAGGACTTTGAGGGAATGAGAAATAACACCTCTTTAGGGATTGTTTGCAAAGGGAAGGAGAGGCTAGAATAGCCTTTAACACATGGCTTTCAGTTGCAGACCAAGAGAAAGCCCAGTGTCAGTCTTTTGGGGGAAACCAGATCAGGAAACAGACTCCACAGGAAGACTAGACTCTACTTTATCTAGATAGACTATGATTGTCCCCTCCCCTCCCTCTTATATCCCAATGAATCAGGGAGTCTCTTCCCAATACTATCTTGTTTCCCAGGACATAAAAAATGCTTCATCTCTCTTTGCTCATATAACAGTTTGTGCATGTTTCGGTCAAGGTCATCTCCCCAATTCTCTATACCTGAGACATTTTCCAGGCCTCCCACCTAGAGCAAAAACAAGGAGATGAGCTGTCAGAAGGAGCGATAGGACTCCCCAAGGACTCCATAGTTCAGCCCTGAGCTACAGATATTCTCTTCTGTTGGTACTAACTTGCATGTTAAGCATTTACTGTGTGCTCATTCCAGATCTTGAAGAATTATTTTGCCTTTTCTTCTCCTTCTGTCTCACTCCACTCCCAAAACAGAGAGCAACAGAAATAAAAAAGAGCATTCAGTCCATGAATTTATGACCTGGCTGATCACATTAAATGTTCTTCAGGGTGAAAAAGATCTCATTTGTTTCTGCTATCATTCCAGTCATTTTTATACAGAAACAAAACAATTCCTGTTGAAGGTGCCAAGTCCCTTTCCAACCACACTGAGAGCCGCTTTTGACAAATCCCTCTTCCCTCCCAATGTTGTACAGGCCTTTGTTCTTCTCTTTCCAAACAAGAATGATTTCTGCCTTTGCCGAAGTTGGGGGTTGTGCAAAATTTCCTGAACCCAGTTGACAAAAGTTATTCCTTGAGTGTAAATTATTCCATAACTTCATCTCGAAATATTGGTAGTTCCAAGCTATGTGTGTAAGAGACAAGCAGGTGAAGGGCAGGTAGAAAGAGATGAGCAGGAGGTGTGACAGCAGGAAAAGGCAGGGTGTGTTGGGGAGATGAATCTAAGGATAGTTTTACAGTCATCTGCAGAAAGAAGACTCCCTCTATTTTTCTGCCCTGGCATAGCTGAAGTTCTCCACACTCAGTCTGGACTAACCCTCCTACCCCAGTAGTCCCCCATCTAGACTAAAGAAAGAACCCCAAGCTCTAGGTCCACTCTCAGTAGAAACCACTGTATGATGTAGTCTGAAAATGTACCGTCTCACGAGCTGAACACCCACTGACTTCATGAACACCTCTATGTTTTCTTGGCAACAGTACAGAAATGGTTTTGCTATGGCCACCTTTCTGCAGGATCTTCTGTGTTTAGTCTAAAGCTCTGAGGCTACCTGGTGATCTCCCATCCAAGTTTTAACCAGGTCTGATCGTACTTAGGTTTTTGAGATCAAGGAGAGTCGGCAGGCTGTTAGGCCAGGCAATTGCCAGGAGTCAACACTGACTCAAAGGCACATTTACTTATTTATTTAGGGCAGGGATCTCAATGGATTCTGAAGCTGCTGGTCAAAAAGAGCCTCTGTAGGATGACCTGACTGAAGTGTTGGACTTCAACCAGGGGGACTTGAGTTTCAGGTTTCCATTAGATTGTGCTGAGCCATCAGTCTCGCCTGCCTCACAAGCTGTTGTTGCTGTAAGAATGGCATATGATCTGTTACCACCTGGCCCCATCTGGGGGTCTTTTATGCCTCCAAATTATGGCGGTGACCTATCGTTTATTCCTCCAAATTATGGTGGTGCCCTGTCCGTCTTTGCTCCCCTCTCCACGGATGAGCAAAATTAGAAATTACGCAACAATCATACAAATTCAAGGCCTGTATAACCTAAGAGAAATTATCCTCATTTCCTTCCTTTAGAAGGGTCAAAAAGCTCTGGGGATTTGCTCCCGTCGATGACTGGATTCAGAGAGCAAGATTTATCCTTGCCTTTCTGCCCAAAGTGCTTGGGATCCCGCGTAGCGTAACGCAAGTTACATTGCACCTAGCCTAACTGCCGTATATTTGTGACCGTTGTGCGTTTCTAATCTGACAGCCCCTGTGAATTCCTCTTTGGCACTCCTCAGCGCAGGATCTAAGTTGATCAGGGACTTGGCTTTAGATGCAAGACTGGGGGACGGGAACGAATAGGACCAACAGCTGGGAGGGGAGAGCATTCCCAGCCCTGGGAAACGCGTTATTTTAACCGCCACAGCAGCCTTGGCATACCTTGAAAGCAATAGAAGAAACAGACCTTCTCATTCTCAAGTCAACAGCTGTGGACTGGGAGCCACACATTGTGGGTCGAAAACAGCAGATGTATGGTGCTGCTCATCACGGGCACAGACACACATTTACAGAAGTTGTGGGATTGTCTGCGTTATCTGAAAAAGAGAGATGGGGAGAGAGAGCGCGATTGTAAGAGTCCATTGTTGATTTGGCTTACAGTGGCGTTGATGCTGCAATTGGTGTTTGAATTTTGGAGGTGGATTAGATTGTAAATTGACACCTTTGGCTTCATCGCTGACTTTTTACAAAGGAAATGCCAGACGAAGGACTTCCCACACAAGATACGCCTGAGAGCCTGCAGGTAATGCCGCTTGCAGGCTCAGAGGCCCCAAAGGCTATTGCAGAAAGCAATTTTCAGAGGGCTAGAGTAGAATTTCAATTCTTTGCAGCTCCTCCTCATCACCAGCAGAAGCAGAAAAATGGACGCAAAAGGAAAAAAAAAATCAAAATAATACAAACACAGTATTAAAAAATGGAACTGATGGAAGCTCGCTCTTTCTTTCTTTCTTTCTTTCTTTCTTTCTTTCTTTCTTTCTTTCTTTCTTTCTTTCTTTCTTTCTTTCCTTCCTTCCTTCCTTCCTTCCCTCCCTCCCTCCCTCCCTCCCTCCCTCGACTAACATTCAGTGGTAGCCTTTCCTCCTGCGTTTTCCACATTCCTCAAATAATAGCCAGTAATGGGAAATTGTGGAGGGGTGTTCTTAGAAAAGCAAGGAAGAGAAGTTCCCATTCATCAGGAATGGCGTTAGCCTTTCTGAAGGCTACAAAGCTGTCTGAATGGTTGAACGCTGACAGATGCAAAGCTGGAGCACGGAAACGTGTATTGCACTGAGAGATTCCAACACATCTCAGAATCCCCTAGTGATGGGGCATCACAATGGGAGCTTTTTGTGGTGCTGATGGTGAAGTGTGACTGCATCGATCTCCACTTTCCAACTGACGGCATCCTTTTAGGCAGGAGTAACCCCAGAGGAAGTCAAAGAAGTCAAGATGGCAGCTTCAGCCATGCAATCAACCCCATTGATGCCCACAAAGAAGGTGTGGGGCTTTGGTCGTGCAATCACAGCTGCCATCTTGACTTTTTTAACCTTCACTCCACCCTGCAAATGCCCCTGCTTTTGTGGCATGGATTATCCAAAAGCCTGGCACAGAATATCACTTCCTTCCTCCCCTTGCAGTTCTGCTAGACAGTGACCCCCTATTTCTAGTCTCCACTGAACTAACACAGAAAAGATGGTCTGCAAAGCAGAACCCACCACTGTGGACCAGTCAGGTTGAGAAAGGGGAATGGTGTCTGTTCTTTCCCTAAATGATTAATAGACTGGACCTCCTCTAATAGTTTGAAAGAACGAAGCATGGGAGATGGGTTGTGGTTGAGTAAGTTCCAGTATTTAATTGGACAATTGAACCGTTTGGTCCATTTGGGATAATAGTTGGAATTAAAAAGAAAAAAGAAATGGAAGATCTTTCCATCTCAGAGACATTTTCTGCCGTTTTTCTAATCCCTACAAGGTCTGCTTCCAGAGATGATCTTGTGGCAGAACCAGGTGTCCTTAGCAAGCCAAAAAGTTGGGGGCAAGGTCCATCCTGAAGTTCTATGGAGGTGCCTGTGGACATCTGAGCTTTCATTCTGATAAAAAAAGAGGAAAAAAATAATTCAAAAATTATTAGATGTGGGTATACTTGAAATGATGTGGATGGCAGGCGGTGGAATCTTGGAGCTAGAGAAGGGATTCTTTATAGTTCTTTATCTGTCCCATTTCCCATCAGATGCCAAACAGGAACTAATTATGTGAAACAGAGGAGACTGGGTTTGCCCAAATTGAAGCAATGGGGTGGGCTAATTTGTGAATCAGCACATGAAGAGACCCCCCTCCTCCCCATTGCCTTAGCATGCTCTATGAACCAGACTATCGCATCAAGCCATGATATGGTTCATTTGTTTGGGAACAGTCTGTTCT